TGTGCGTAGAGGGTACTAAAAAGGCAACATTTTTCGGTAATAAAAAAACGCCACTAAATATCTCGACTGCTTCCACATTGCTAATTAGATCCATATACATAATTTAATAATGTCTGTTCTTAGGTTACCAGTAGTAATTTTGAATACAAATATCCTGATCCCTATTTATCTGAAAACTATTAAAAATTTATAAATTAAAGTAATTAACTCATTTATTAATAGTTTTAAGTTGTAAATATAGAAATATGAGCATACACAAGTATTATACTAAATGTTTTTCTTTTAACATGGAGACCTGCATTGCAGCATAGCTTCGGCACAGAAATGAGGAAATTGAATGCACTTCAGCAGAAAATTATTGATTCCCTATAAAAAAGACAGATGAAAATGAAATATGTAATTAAAGGTAAAAATACATTTACTTAATTCACTTAAGTCATTCAAAGTTATACATACATATATTAAATATAAGTAGGGAGTCGAGTTGATATGAACTTGGATTTGATATTAGAAAAATTGAGGCTTTGGAGAACCGCTTTTTTCTTCATATTAGTTAAGGAAACAAATATAAAGCAAAGCTCAAACAATAATGACACTAAAAGCATCGGCATATTCCGAACCGCCCGAATAAAAGGACGAATCTAGATACACATATACATACATATCGTTACCTTAATATAGAAAGGCCCTATCTGACATCGTCGCTGATATACAAAAAGCCGTAACTAACTTAAAATCGAAAATTTACGTTTTAATTGATTATGATGCATTTGATCGCATTATATGGCCCCAAATCGTTTTATGCAATAAAAGATTTTAGTTAGTTACGGCTTTGTGCATTTCAGCGACGATGTGAGATAGGGCCTTTCTATATTAAGGCAACGATATGTATTATTTGTGGCGCAAAATATTTATATGAAGGCGTTTTTTAAGGTAATTGCAAAGTTAATTTAGCTTATCTATGCATAATGACGCAGAGTAACTAAAGCTTGACTTCTTCAATAGTATTACAATGACACCATTGAGCAAAGCATCATAAAAAATGCATTGCGATATCTATTACTGGCTTTTGTGCTGCTAAATTTTCTTTTGTACATATCTATGTATAAGTATGCAAGCAGCAGCGGATTTCAGCTGGTGTGCCCGGCGGCTATCCAAGGTGTCGGGGGTTTAGAGGATGCCGTGTGCTCTCCTACCGATCTATAAAAACATATACCGAGACAATAGTGCGATTCATAAAACGTGACAAAGTGGCATTTTTGGCAAAACCGCAACATTGCAAACAAAGTTGTATGAACGACCTATATGAAAAGCGGCCGTAATTTTAGTCCGATTTCAATAATTTTCAATGGTTTGCTTTTATATGGCAAGCACAACAACCATACCGAGTTTGGTACAAATTGGTAAAACTGTTACCGAGAAATAATATAATATATCATAAGTGGGCGGTGCCACGCCCATTTTTCAAAATTTTATTACGAACGTATTTCTTGGTAAATAATTGTTGCAAGCTTCAATTTTGAATGTATTAGCTTAAATATTTACTGAATTATCGGAGATTTCGTATTTCTCTAAATTACCGTTATATGGGATGTGGGTGTGGTTATTGTCCGATCTTAATAATTTTCGGCCATTTGGTATGGTGTACCAAGACCAACAACTGTGCCAAGCTTGGAAGACATTGGCTACCAAGATATACGCGGCTACGCCCATTTTCCAAAAATTTATAATATTCTTATTTTTCGTCTAAAAGGTATTGTAAATATCAATTTTGAGTGAATAATATTTAGTAGTTACTAAAATATCGCAGTTTTCGTATTTCTGAAAATTACCGTTATATGGGAAGTAAGCGTGGTTATCGTCCGATTTTCCCCATTTTCAATACCATCCGTCCTACGCCCGAAGGAAGTGCACGTACCAAGATTCGTTAAGAAATCTCAATTTTTACTCGAGTTATCGTGTGCACAGACAGTCACCGCTTAAGCGATTTCTCTATTCATTCTGATCATTTATGTATACATCTGTCTATATCTATCTCAATTCGTTTTGCTTGTTACAAACAACCGTTATGTGAACAAAGTTATAATACCCTTGTGCACAAGTGGCGTTTTCTTTTCTACAAAAAATATTGCCTTCTCAGTGCCCTTTACCTTGTATTTGTGCGTAGAGGAGAAGGCAGCATTAGTTGTGTTAAAAATTTTAGGATATTACAGAGCTCGCGGTCTTCCTCCCTCTAGGACCGGGGGCCTGTGGCATTTTGCCAGCTAAGCCCCCCATAAGTTACGCCTCTGACTATAGCAATATTACCGGCAATACAATTGTTTTCGAGGACGAGACATTTTCGTATTGCCGGCAACAAAATTTGTTTGGTGGGCAAGTACAGCCATATAAAGTTTTCGCGATTCATAATTTGTAGGGAAAAGCTGTAAGCTTTCATAATGATTTAATATGGATTACGGAAAGGGGTTTTACTTTTCCTGTGGAATTTCAAATATTTGCGATGTATTCTACTTACATTCCAGCAACCACAACAGGCTTCAAGCATATATAGGAATATATAAAAAAATGCACCCAGGAAAGCCACAAAAAAGGAAATGAAAATGAAAATCAAAAGCCAAAAAATGAACCAGATCGGATTTTTCATAATGACGTAGATGTAAATATACTTTAAATCACTCGATGATGCAGAAGTCCAACTTAAGTTTATTCTTTGCAATTATTAATGGTGCGGCGAGTTTCAGTTTGCTTGATTAGATGTTGAGTTTGCTTTATATACGTATGTTTGTGTTTGGATCTGTATTTTTGATATTTATCAAAAAGAGGCAATTTATAAGAATGTCAAAAGATTGTGAGATTGTGACATGTTTTGGTTTGGGTTGTTTTTTCCAAAGGTATTTTCCCAATATTTTTATTTATGTGAAAAAAAGTCATTCTTGTCCCAATTATTTTTTTTTTTCAAGTACGATGTGCTGGTATTTGAAAAAAAAAATTTGGGACAATGTCTTTTTTTGAATGACGTTCAATCATCCTACCTTTCCCTTTCATTCTTTGAAAGAGTTTATTAGCAAAGAAATAAAAAGGGTGAGAAAATACCTTTCCATCGGAAAGTTTAGGAAGAGTTTAGGTTCAGTTATTCAAGTTTTTCTTATACCAATATCTGAAAAAAGTTAAAAAAACAGCATCAAAAATCTGATTATTACGATTATCAATTTTTTAAAAATGTTTTTATGCAAATTTTTAAGCTTAAACCGTTTTTTCGTTTGAGGGGATTTAAAAAAAAAACTTTAAGAAACCATTTTTATTTATAAAAAACTTCATTTTTGGAGGTATTTTCAAATCGGTTCAGCTCACGTAAATCTTTATATTTTTCCGAAATATCTTGGTGGGCGTCTTAAAATAAAATAGATTTTATAGTTCCAATCTAAAAACAGTACCGATTTTTTTTGTATGAGGAGTGATGCAGTCTAATTTACATATGAAAGGGTTAGAATCGTAAGGGTCTAAGTGACAATTTTTGAAAATATAAGTTATAACCAGGGAACGAATTTTATGGAAATTGCCTTTTTTTCTGCTAAAGAGATAGAGTATATTCGATTAAGAATGTCCACGATTTAGCTTTCCATGATTCCATATTTACACATTTGATGTTGCCTTTTTTTTGCTTTTTTAAGATATTTGCCTTTTTTGCCTTTTCTACCTTTAGAAAAGTGATTATAGCATTACCATTTTTTTTGTAAGATTAAAAAAATATATTCAACAATTTTTATTGAGCTCGAGGCCGTTTTTTAATGAAAATTTATTGTGGAAAAGCGGAAAAACGGGCTCGAGCGCAATAAAAATTGTTGAATATAATTTTTATAAGGCCAAAAAATAACAAAAAACTATTAAAAAAATATACACATGCCCATGCGGCTTATAGAAGCGCAGGGACCTTTTGCCAAATTGGTGTTAGAAAAATTCAAAGCCGTTTTCTCAGCAAACGTAGGCTTGGAGACAATAACGGGTGTGGATAAAATTGTAAAGGGCGAGGAAAACGCCCATATTCCTGATAATATGAACGTTTCAAACCTCGAAGCGTACATTTAGTACATTCAAGGCTTTTCTTCGCGAAAATCGAATGAAAATGCTGCCAGAAAACTTCAAAATACATCTTATAGTTCAGTATTACTACAACTATACATTAAAGTTTTATGAGTTGGAAACTCGAAAGGATAAAATAGTCAAATATTCAAAGTACAAATTTTTCATATAATGATAATAGTTCATAGTTTTTCTCTTTTTACTTGTAATATAAACATTTCTAAAATAAATGTATTTTTTGATTGTTCTTCGAATTTTCTGTCTTTTTTTAGTGCCTTATTTTGCTTTTTTTGCAATACCTAGTGCCTTTTCCTGCCTTTTTCGCTTTTTTGTTTTGCCTTTTTTGCAATACCTATTGCCTTTTCCTGCCTTTTTCGCTATTTTACTTTGCCTTTTCCAGCCTATTTCGTTATTTTATTTTGCCTCTTTTATAGGTTTTTAAGTCCTAAAAATCCGTTCCCTGTTTATAACCATTGTACCTGATAAACTACACGACTATTCTCTTCCAGATCCGGACTTAATAGTAAATTAATACGGCCAATTAATAGAAAAAATGTGTGACTCACAAACAGTGTGGCCAGACATGTATTTTGGGTTGAAATCGTTGTAATTTCAATTATGACTTTATTACTCATTTGTACAATTTCGAATGAGACTTGATTTCACTTCTGGAATGGAAATAAAGTCATATGGTTTTATTTCCAAAACAAAATGGAAATAAGACCATATGGCCTTATTGCGTATGGTGTTATTGCACCCCACCTCTTTAAATTACCTATAACCTGATTAAGAAGTTTCACTTCAAAAAATTAGCAATTAGTTGAAAATCAAGGCCACGGACTATTTTGAGTAGTACATTCCAGTTTGGCACCACTGTTCGGCGGCCGTATTCTGCCCTATTAATGAAACACGACGGTAGGTAATATTTACATAAATATATTTATTTTAGCAAAAAACGTCTTAAACCAATTTGTTCTGAGTAGAAAAATGTTTGATCTAAATAATTGAATGGCCTCTAAATATGTAACTGCACGTAACCAAGTATTAAGTGAAGCTGTGGTTATAAAGCTTTGTAAACACACAAGCAATGCAAAAAAAATATGATCAGAATGAAAATTTCTTATTATCTAAGAGTAACATCTAGCAAGGAGACTTGCAGTCCAACATAGCTTGAGCGCAGTAGTGAGGAAATTGTATGCCTTGCAACAGTATGCCGTTGATACCCTGAAAAGATATGTAAAAAAGGATTAAAATTAAAAGACCAAATATTAATTTAAACACCAAAAAACTAATAAGAATAGGTTTACGTAACGTCGTTTAAAGTACAAAACCACGTATCGCGGTTCCGCCAAACCTCGTAATTGACATTTGTGCCAAAAAAGATATTTGCTGACCGGAAGCTCCTGGCATCAATCAAAATTTGATAACTATTTCGGCGATGATATCTCTAAAAGTGCATAATTCATTTAGTGATACGTGAAGAAAAAAATTATTCATATCACATCAACATGCATATGTATGTAATTATGGTTGATTAAAATAATCAAAATTTTTGTGAAGAAGCGAGATATGCTGAACAATTAAAACAACATCGATCGCAAAAAAGTGACGCATTTGTTATCTCAGGGACATATGTATGTACATATCCATACGAATGTATATACATTAGGGTGGTCCAAAGTAAGTAAAGTCGGAATTTTAGTGCTCTCAGTCCCTAGGATTTTTCTACATCGAAAAAATATACCCCTATTTTTTATTTCAAATAAAAAAATATTTAGATGTGGCTCAAAGCGGTTTCCAAGTTTTCCAAGTATTCTATATGGGAAAAACAGCTTTTCGTATAAATGGTATAGAATTCTTGGCGGACCTATGGTTACTAAGAACAAATGGTTCAATAAATAATTGGGCATTATTGGAACTATCCTAGGGGGTGAGAGTATAAAATTCCGACTACTTTTTCACATGCGTTTTGGACCACCCTATTGTGCATACATACCTAACAAAAAAATGACAAAACCACATAAAACGTTATCAGCACAATAAAATTAAGAAACGGCTTTTGTAATAATGACATCATCGCTTTAAAACATTTGTTGCTGTGAACAACATATGCATACATGTACGTACAAAGGATAAAAATCAGCTGATACTGGCAACACAAAAGTCCACGTGATCAAAGTGGTATAATAATGTTACGATTATCCTCGAAACCTTGAGGGATTACCCAAATATACTCG